AGACAATTACAAATATAAATGTACGCTATGGTAAATTGGCATGGTATGGTTTCTATCAAACGGAACACGAATAACTGAAATGTGTGTATATATATATATANNNATATATATATATATATATATATATTGCTTGCATAAAGGCACCAACTATGTGATTTATATGTGAATATGCAAGAATACGAAGTCACATTAATATTCGAACACGTAATGAAAAATGTCCTGTTAACCCCTCTCTACTCTTTCAGATAGCGCGAAAAGCGCTCCATCGCCCACCCAGGCCAAACGAAACTATGCAGACAGTCGCTGTAAACATTTCTGCCTGGAAACACCTCTAGCAATGGGGCGCAAGGGAAAGAACTACGTTCAAGCACATGCAGCTTGTGGTTTTCCACCACGCAAATGGACGCTTCTGCAATCACTATTATTTGGCTCATGATCATGAGCACGGTGCACGGTATCATTAAGAGATTTGAGAAAGAAGACAGAATTGAATCTCAACCGCAACGAGGACAACGTAAAAAGATCCGCGAAAGAGAGCAGCGTGCAATTTTGAGGGGAATACGAGAAAATCCGAAGGCGAGTGCCGTCCAGCTGGCAACGGAACTGCGCGAAGCGTCAAGGACATCTGTGCACCTCGAAGCAGTGCGCGGAGTAATTAGAAATGCCGGATTTCATGGCAGAGCAGACAGGAAGAAAACCTTTATCCGTGCTGGGAATAAGAGCTAAACGACTTGTTTGCAAAGGAATATGCGACAAAATTAGAGGAACGGTGGCGTGATGTAATTTTTGTAGATGAGAAAACGTTTAATATTTTTGGAAGTGACGGTAGGAAAATTACATTGCGCAAACCAAATACAGCGTTGCATCCTACAAACGTAGTGTCAACATGTAGTGTCAATCACGGAGGTGGACACATAATGGTGTGGGGCTGCGTATTAGCTGCTGGCGTAGGGCAGCTGGTGTTTAATTAAGGCACAATGGACAAACATCAGTACCTCAACATACTGAAACTGGGACGACACACTGGGCATCAGAACTCGTTTAAATTTTATCAAGATAACGACCCGAAACGCAAATTGTATTTAGTGCGGGAATGGTTGTTGTACAATTGTTCAATAGTGCTGGAAACGCCGCTTCAGTCTTCTGACCTCAATCAAATTGATAGTTTATGGCATGAAGCGGTATGTACAGTCAGGAGAATCCCAATAATGTGAAAGTTCCATCAGCAAGAGAGTCAAGGAAGAATGGGCACAAATTTCAATTTTTTTCTTTAAATTTCATGGCAAAAGAGAGTGAAATACATTTATAAACAGGGTATATATATCCGATTTTCACTGATGTCTGATGTTTTGAGATTTGCAAGAGATTGAAATTTTTTCAGCGACTTCCTAAAACTACAAAATTGAAGATAGAGATTTTTCTTTTAAGTAAAATTTTCGACTGTAATTAGTTCTTTCGTTTAGATCATATAAGTTTCTTTTTTAACTTTTATTAGTACTCGCGCAATACAGCGTTCAATATGTGCACTACTAAAAAAATTTCAAGATGATGTTCTGATGTATCTTTTGTTTCTTCAAAAATTACACAATCTTCTTCGCAACATTTCACATACCGTTAATATGCACATTTCCGGCGATTTGTATACATTATTGCATTTGTGCTTTAAACTACTTCCCATAAAGTTTTTCAAAAACCTAATAGTTTTCTGCGAAAAAGTTTAAATTTCGCATTTAAAGTAACGCTTAAACGCCGTTTTCTTAAAAATTGCACCAAATTTTACAAAGAAAATTTCCATTGGTAGCACGAGGAATTATTATTCAATAATATTCAAGTAATTTTTCTGTTCTGCCATTGGGAAACCGAACAATTGAGCAGATGTGAATAAATAGTGTTTGGGCAGCGATGGACGGCAACCCGGAGGAGGATGGGACACATCCGAAAAGATAGCTCCGACCATAAACATTAGGAAACTAACTAGTACGGGAAGGTCTGGGCGTTTATTTACTAGGCTGTCCGGGTGACGCCGCGCTCACTTACATTCCAAAGCTTTTAAAACCGAGAACACACGTCTGTTTCTTTCTTTTCACTTCAGAACAATGCCGTTCACTACACAAATTCATTGGAAGTTACGTTGACAAAAGGAAATGATCCGCTTTTATTACTTTTTTCGTGTTTGTCGTAGATTTCGACGAATAAGTCCTTTTGTACCCTTTGCGTTCATTTTTTAAGATTTTTTGGTTGATTTCATATATTTTAATATTATTTGTGCGTGGGGGAGATTTAAACCCGCCCCATATTAAGGGACCTGTTGAGCTAACACTGCTCTTCGAATGGCGTGCCCCGTCATCCAATGGCAAACTTTCTGGGGCCTATGGAGACGAGTAAATTCCATCAAATTCACTGTTTATCTAGTAAAATAATAGTGCTAAGCTAAGAGGAATCAAACACATTTGTTCATATAAATTATGTTTAAATGAAAACTTGTAAAAGAAAAGAGAAAATAATAAGATCAAGGAGTGATCAAGATATTAACAAAAAATCACGTACTGGTGTGAATGCACGTATTGGCATACTTTAAGTAAGTTGAATAACATTGTATTGCTTGTTATATTGCGGCGTATTTTATTTAACCTTATTCATGGATTTGTCATTGAAAAATTAATACATTATAATCTATTATCCGCTCATGCTAAGAAAAATCCTGATGTAAACAAATGCACACGGGTTAGAATTAAACTCATTGGTGAGCTCTGCTGTTGGTAAACTCAGTGTGAGCTCTGCTGTCATAGGGATCCTAGCGCTAAAGTAAATAGTTCTCAGTATAAAAACACAATGAATCTGCCAACGTTCGTTAAATTATCCTTGCGTCAAAACTATTGCAACGGTTTCGAGGAGACCCGTGTGAGCTGACTGCGTGTCGCTGTGCGATAAGGTCACGAGCCTCTGACCGTTGCGCCCACGAACGTGCTGACCGACGTGGGTCAGACGCGTGGGACGCCTCGCGGCACCACGCTTTTAGAATGAGAATGTAGCTGCCCTATAATTTAACACTAGTGTGGAAAAAAAATTCGGAATAGCGAAAAGCGCATCTTTCTGAACGTTTTTAATTAGTTATTGCATATTGCGTTTTCAAACCGTCGTTCTCGGTGAAGCAAATCATCGCAGAGTTCACTGGAATATCCGTATTCAGCGTCTTGAAACTCCGGAAAAAACTCTCTGACAAAGGACGACAACAACGCCAGAGTTGAATAGAAAGAAGAAGAAACTGTGATTGAAGTATACCATGATTTTGTAGGCACTGCTGTTCGATCGAAAGTGCATTCCTTACAACTAAAGGGCAAATGTGCAGAAACGAAACACCAACGCTTGCTAAATTGCGGAAACTTGTGAATTGTGAAGAACTTGCAAATTTTAGCCCAAACAATTTATAAAAAATTATTGACATCCGCTCACTGACAACAACTTTCTGAAGCAGACTGATCGTAAGTAAAGTGTAGTTGCATGAACAAGACATTTGCAAATACAATAGCCATAATTCAATCCTATGAAGGTAAGGTCACGACAATAGCAGAGATGTATCGACTATAAGTAACGGAATGTGACAGACGTATAACCTGCACCATAGTACATACATTGGAATAGAGAATTCAACATTTTATTTAAATAACCTCTGGCTGATACAAGTAAAGCGCGCGATACGATTGCTTCAGACGAGTAATACGAATAATATCCCTGGTCCGATCTAAATCTGATGCAGCTTACGATTTTATGAGAAGATTAAAATGGGGAACACGGAGTAAAGATTGTGATAACGGTTTGGTGACGTATGATTTACAACAACTTGGGCGTATAGTAAAGGACTTTTCGTCTTTTTCTGAAGTGGGGTGGATTTAAGTGACGTTTTTAGTTGCTTAAAAGACGTGTTATGTACATAAGTTTAACATTACACGCCCATTTTGGTATGGGAAGAAAGATATTTCACTGAGAAAGCAGAGAATAGTATGAGTCTTCAAAGATGAAGGAATTTCAAAGAGAAATTTCAAAAAATTGCTTAATGACCAGAAAATAGTGGAAATATTTTTTTTAAAAAGCACCGTTAAGTCTGGAATGCCAAGCTTGCGAAACCTGTGGTAAGAAAACAAATCCAAAACTAAGCAGTTCAATAACACTACTGGTAAATATAGGGAAATACTTTTTGAGGAAAAATTACAGCTCCACCAAACAAAATCGGTGAATATTTTTACTTTTATCAGGCAAAAAGCCGTGCTCTATGTTTTGCTGCCAAAATGATCATGCTCAATTAGTATACATTACTTCAAACGATTAGATGCATCGCTGCACTTAGCTAGATATTGCTAAAAAATAATATCTGGAATAGGAGAAAGTGTAATGCCTTTCGCTGTAGGTGTCGTGCTACTAGCAGCGATTGCAGGCAATTACAAACGCTTCCAGTACAGGATGCAAAAGAAGTTGAGTTCGCAGGGAAGCTAAGTTCCCTGGAGGAGCGTGGTGGTGAGCGAGGTTTCAAGTACCGAGACCACGTCCGATGAAGTATGAAAATAAGTTTAATTGAAGAAGTAGAGCTGCAGATCAGCGTGAAGTTTACACAACAAAGTCTGCAGGCTGTCTGCCCGATATCAACGCTACAGGATCCTTATATGGGAAACAGGGAGATTTACGAGGCCATTACGCCACCCCCGCCAGAACTCGGCATGCCCTGGACGCAATAAACTGACATAACTGTCAGAGGACTTTTGCCCTTTTGAAAACTCACAAGATCCCAAACATTCCTGTTTCCACGTCTGGATCGTGTTAACGTTGACGGCGGTTTGGGGTGCCCAATCACCCATGACCTCAGGCAGGGCGCCTGCTCCAGACACGACCCTAATTTAAACATGTCTGAATGGTGATATTTCTTTCACGTACAGTTTGAAAGAAATATTCATTGCTCTTCTTAAGCAATGCGTACTTCATATGTACGTAGGTGCATTTACCATTACAAAAGATTAGAAAATATCCTCCAAAATTGCAGGCGCATTTCAATTGAACAATACTCGAAACAAATTAACAAGCTTTAACAGTTATCATTATAAATTACAACCTGATTCTTAAACTATCTTTCTCGTTTAAGTATTATTCGCAGATAATGTATGAGGATAAGCAAAACAATCCCTATCTAAAACATTTTTTAAGTACTTATAAATGTCACATTTATGTAGTATGGGGCATCCGTGTACATCCAGAATACATCTAGTTTCACAGAATGCGTAACTTTACAATTACACTGATTCCGTAAGTTTAAAAATTTTTAACTTTGGCAGACTATTTTCAGATTCTCGAGGTATATTAATAAATTTAATTATTTCTTATTAATTCCAGACTATGTTTTAAATTACAGTTTACTTATTGTCAAGAGAATTGTCATCACTCGTCCTTCAATCACAAAGCAAAAAGAAATACAGTACAACAAATCAACTAGAAATCATTAAAATTAACTCTAAAACATTTAACACAACTCCAACATTTAACATAACTCCAATAAAACAACAAAAATAGTTTGGCAATAACATCCAAATGTACTCTTAAGTGACTTCTTGAGTAGTTTGAGCACACTAGTGACTTCAACCAACACGATTCACATAGACTCCACCTATCATATAAATTTCTAGCCAACACATTTAAAATTAGTTCTAGCCATAATAAATTTAAGATTTTCATTTCTGATTAGAATGGCAGTGATGTAATCTTCTCCTACCGTTCGAAGACCTTTCTGGTAGTTACATTCAAAATTTCTGAAGGCCAAAAAAATCGCACCTTGAAGACTATTTCACAGCTTGAAAAAGCAGCATATTACACCTGAAAAAGAAAAGAAAATGACCTTCCGATTACGATAACAGCCCAATCCACCCTTTATACACGAGTTCCTTTACGTACGTAATACACGAGTTCCTTTACAGGCCGGTTTATTTTATGGTGCTGAGCAACAGTTCCGAATCTAGGAGTAGGAATCTGGTTTAAAACGGTCCTCTACTTATCTCGCAAAGCCTTCCATTTGCTTCTTGCTAAATCCCCTGAAAAAAAATGTCAATTTAAGTTACCTGTCAACTGGCATGTCCTTCACAAGATTTTCATTCGCATTCAGAATGACTGTTGCTACAGGTTTCATCATAATCAAAGGAACTGTAAAGGTATTATGGAATGGCACAAATGCACAGGCCTGTCCCTACACAACAGAATGGTTTCAAGATAATAGAAAATGACTTTCAAGAACTGTGGAATTTCCTACATTGTGTAGGGGAATGGACAGAAAACATATAAAGATTAATTGTCCTAAACATTGGGGCAAAGTTTTACAATTATAAGAAATTATTTTCTAGTTTTGCAAGGTGTTGTAGTTGCAAATTATAAATTCATAAATATTTAAGTAGGTGGTTATGGAAAACAAACGGATGGGGCTACTTTTAGAGTATCTTTTAATTGAGACAATAATTAATAATAAAACATGATCACTGCCAGCTGATTATGTGCTTCCAGGATCTGGCATTACTGATCCATTACCGTACCCTACTACAGATCAGGCGTATCCACTTTCCACCTACTTGCTGAAACCTTACAGTGGAACTCATTTAACTCCAGATCAGGAGTATTTTAAAAGCTGACTTTCCAGGGTCAGAATTTCTGTTGAATGTGCTTTTCGTTTTCTATACAGTAAATGGAGGATTCTGGCAAAATCAATAAAAACAAATGTAGAAACAGCAGATAATATTGTAAGATAAATTTGTTTGTTGCATAACTTAATTATTGATAGAGAGGGAATGGAAGATACATTAATTAAAATAACGTTCTTTCCTAAAAATACATATACAGAAATGTTGGTGGGAGGCATTCTACAGCTACAGTAAATGTGTGGGATACTTTTAGACATTATATAAATAATCATCCAATTGGCCAGAACATTACTATATAATAAATTGTTTTTACTTCTTTTGACATTTGTAGTTATTTTTTACTACGTAAAAATGACATTTGCAATTTACCGGAGTTACGGCTAAATGCACCGAAAAATACTTGTAGGAAAATTCAATAGATCACAGCACTATCACAGGAGAATTTACTTCACTGATAATGTCTGAGGCAATGGTCCGATTTTCGATCTATAAACGGCATTTGACGTTTGTTTAAAATAGAATTTACGCTTCGATGCCCTTTTTCCAAAAATCTTGCAAAAACGCGAATTTGAAATTAGTTCTCGAACTTCCGAGAAACAATTAAAAATGTGGGCTTATAGCGGGATAGCGTCATGCTTCCTGAATACAACGCCGTGACAATCATGCAAATCGGACGAATAGGAGCGTCGTAAAGTGAAATTTAGGAAAACACCTCGCCCCCTTCCCCCTTCCGCGCCGTTGCGTCATTCACCCGCCCGTTGTGGGCCCTTGTAAGCGCGGCGGCACGCCAGCCCCGACGGAGGAAGCGGAACTTGCGGGACACGCAAGCCACACAGTCGGTTTATGCGTTCGTCACTTTGCATCTCAATATATTTTTCCACAGATATCAAACTAGAGATGCTATACTACTATTACAGATCGAGGTAAACGGTCTGTAATAGTAGTACATAACTATCTTTTTCACATATTTACGTCTTCCTTCGAATACCATCTTAAAATTGTTTGAGGCATTACTCAAAATATCGTGTCTGATTTGGAACTGTTTTTTTAATTAACTAATTATGTAAATATTACCATTATTCCATCTCACATCTTAGTTTAGATATATTTTACTTCTAAGGTCTTCTGTTATCACGCCACGTTTCGACCATTTTGTCATGGTCTTCCTCAGAGCTGGAATGCCCATACATACAGGGCTAGTATACCCATGGCATACCAGACCACGAAAAGATGGTCGAAACGTCGGCAATACAATCTTCGATGCGGCGTCACCCGGGCAGCCAAAATCATGCGCTTTTTTTAAATTTGTCCGGAAGTACGAAAACATCTTAAAAATTAGCTTCGGGTATTTTACTTGGGAAAAGAGATTCACCAGATGAACTCTTTAAAGCAGATAAACGTCGTTTTGAGATCAAAAATAGAGTTGTAGGATAAAAGAGCTCGTGCGTATACTCTGCTCATTCTTTCCGGTATTTGACAACGGAAGATCTTAGAGCAAGGTGGCGTGATAACAGAAGACCTTAGAAGTAAAATATATCTAAACTAAAATGTGAGAAGATGGAATAATTGTAATATTTACATAATTAGTTAATTTAAAAAAAACATTTCCAAAATCAGACACATTTGGAGTAATGCCTCGAACAATTTTAAGATGGTATTCGAAGACGTAAATATGTGAAAAAGATAGTTATGTACTACTATTACAGACCGTTTACCTCGGTCTGTAATAGTAGCATAGAATCTCTAGTTTGATATCCGTGGAAAAATAGATTGAGTTGCAAAGTGACGAACGCATAAACCGGCTGTGTGGCTTGCGTGCCGCCGCGCTGACAAGGGCCCACAACGGACGGGTGAATGACGCAACGGCGCGGAAGGGGGAAGGGGGCGAGGTGTTTTCCTAAATTTCACTTTACGACGCTCCTATTCGTCCGATTTGCATGATTGTCACGGCGTTGTATTCAGGAAGCATGACGCTATCCCGCTATAAGCCCACATTTTTAATTGTTTCTCGGAAGTTCGAGAACTAATTTCAAATTCGCGTTTTTGCAAAATTTTTGGAAAAAGGGCATCGGAGCGTAAATTTTATTTTTAAGAAGGCGTCAAATATCGTTTACAAATCGAAAATCGGACCATTGATTCAGACGTTATCGGTAAAGTAAATTTACTTATTTTGGTGCTGCCACGTGGTGGCTACAAATTGTAATAGAGTCGGGACATTTAGCCTTAGAGGAAAAATCTCGATCTTGAATTTTTTAGTTGAAGGAAGACGCCGAAAAAGTTAGTTTTGTCATTTTCGAAAATCAATAGTTAACAATGAAAATGGGATCTATCCCCCTTAATGAGTGTTTTTACTTTATCCTTACAGGAAATTTAAAGAAAAAATTGGTGCCTATTGGAGAAAAAATTCAAAATTTCCATTATGCATCATTTAAGTATCCCAAAAATTCAGGAATGTTTCTCAATATTGCAGAGCTTCAACTCAGGCCAGGTCGTCATGGGTTTATTCAGTTTTGAAAAAATCGTGGACCATACTTCACTGGCTAGTTGTTCACATACCCCGGACGGACGGACGGACGGACGGACGGGCGGTTTTGAATACTAGATGGTACAACAGCACATTCTTTCTCTTAAAACTGAAAAGAGTTCATAATATTAAAATAATGTAATTTTTGCCATACTAAAAACTAAAGTTATAACTTGAACAATCTAATTCAAACGAATCGCCTCTCGGATTTAGCTTGAGGGAAAAATACTAATTTTCATTTCAAATGTCAAAGATTAATACATTTCTAGAAAACTAACAATATCTTTACAGCAAATTACTAGCTCCATGATTCCGCGTTGTTAAGTGAAAATTGCAATTCGATGTCGTGTATCGTATACAATTATGGCAGGGGGTACATACACAATAGTAATTTGCAACTATGACTGATTAGTTTATAAAATATCTACTTTAATCAAAATTAACATATATTATTTAAAAATTATTTTTGTATTAGAAACACGTTGAAATAAGTTTCTTTGGTTAAAGTAGGGTACACAGTACACCATGGAGGCGGGGGGAGGGGTTTCCGTAAGTCCTTCTTCAAATTACGCGACGCACACTGACAGAAATAAATAAAACTTACGGATAGGCGATTTTCATGTCTCCCCCTTCATACGCCTTGTCCCCGCCGCATTGTAATGTCAATTTACTTTCAAAGGCAAGTTTTTTCGCTTCGCTCGCCCGGATCCAAGTCACGGCGAGGCCCGGGCCTTCGGCCCTCGCGTTCACTATAAACATCCTAGAGCCTATCCACCGTGTAGTTACCAATTCACTTTTATAAGAAAGCACTTTTCAAGAAAGCCCAACTCCGCAGTTGCCACCGGAGCGCTACGAAGTGTCAGTTTAAACTTCTTCCGTGAAGTGTACCGTATGCAAGACATCAGTCGTTTCTTGAATAATGTGTGTGTGTGTGTGGGGGGGGGGGTGTCTGTGTGCGTTTGTTTTTCTACAAAATAGAAGAAATTTTAGGGAAGTGTTTGATATTCGCGAGAATTTCGCGGAAATATTCAAATGGTCACAGGCGGAAAACTTTCACTCCTGGCAACTCTCCGAACAAAAGAACACACGATTTCGAAGGCATATAATGCGTGAATGAGGCTTTTTAATTACACAGTAAGGACATTTAAAGCCACAAGTGATCACTATATGTAAACTCAAATATTTTGTTTTAAATGTTCTAAATAAAAATTTGCCGTTTTCAAATACAATGTGAAACATTACACATGTTACACGTATGATACCTTCCTTATTAATTTTTGCTAATTTGAAAGACTCAAAGAACCAAACAAATTAACACGGATTCTAGTAGGGCTGCAAACAATGCTCATGTAAAAGGACACTCAACAAGCCGCCACCCCCAAATCAAACATTTATTTTTATAACTAAAGGTATTTCATTTAGAGTAGCATCTTTTCTATTTCCTTTTCTCTATTTGCGATTCATGTGAAAAGTTTCGTTCACAAAATGCAGATGAGGACGGTCTGAGCGTCTTTTTTTATTTTAGTCGCTGGACACACTACCCATCCCGGATGCGTATGTCATGCGCAATTGTCTGCGTTCACAAAAAGGATGTTTGTGTTCTACTAATTTAAACAAACCATACGATTCAATGCAGCAGATTGCAGTCTGGTGATAAGATAAATCATAACAAATGTTTAAAATTGACTAAACGGAGGACATTTAAAACACAAACGGGGACGAGAGGACAATTAACGTCAATGAAGTACTCCTCTCCCAAACAGAGGACTGTTGGCAATCCTAGGTTTAACCAAAAATCCATCAACAAATTATATTCGTTGTTTCAAAATCCCAAAAAATCCAATGTCTTTAGGTGATGTTCACAGAAAAACAAGCAACAATTGGAAACTATAATCTCCACTGCTCCAAAATACTTTCATAAGAATCACGATCAAAAACCGTTCGAATTATTTCCGTCATTTTATCCACTCAATTGTCAGTCACTATGGTACAATGCAATTCGACGAGACAATCATTTGTTCATCGGGTTTT